AGTAGTAGTCATGCTATTGATGCGACGCGCTCCCTATCACCACCACCTGTATACAACTCCCGTGGCCGCAAAATTGCTCCACGTAAGAAGTTTGGGTAGCCAGAACAATCGTACATCTGTATAGATTTATCCACTACAAAATCTCGTGATAATAGCTATTCTGTGTAGCTCTACAGCCTTATGTTTGCAGGTGCTTGTTTTGGTGTTTCGGGGCATCACGCGAATCCGGGCATCACGCGCACGGACACGGTAGGTTCATGTAATGTGGGTTCCTGCTCAAGGAGTCTACGCCAGGGCAGTATTAGTCACAGTACTTTCATCCCAAGTGGTTTCATATCCTTTGGCCCCTGATGCAGGATTGTGCGGTACTTGCTGTCATAGACCAAAACAAAACTTCCAACTCTTTCGATCTGGTCCCTTGAGCTGTTGTACAGTGCTTAGCAAATTCTGGTTCCCCTTAGAACGCCGTTGAAACAAAGTATGCACTACACTGCAAGCAGGGATCATGTTACAGGGGGTAGTTAGTACGGGTTGGAAAACTGGGGCGCCCTACAGAAGAAGCATCGAATTACAGGAAGACATTCCTTATCTTTAACATAGCTAAGATCTGTATACAATTCAACTACCTTTTAGGAACGTTTAATGATCGACAACAGGGCTCGTATTTTCAGCTGGCACTCCACCTAGCAGATCGGCTACTGTGTCGGCCTTTTAACGCTGCTCGCCCGCGCTTAATACTGCAGTGCATTGCGCCTGAGAAATCAATGTGGTTAATGGGCGTGATAATCCTTGCTTGTAGTGTGGCGCATACCGAGTTTCAACGGCGTTCCAAGGGGAAGCCGAGTTCGCCAGGTAGGTACTGTACACTAGCCGCCAATCCTAAAACCACTGATTTTAGGTTTGTTGGCCCGTGAAGGCCTGGGCTAGATGATTTTAGTAATTTGAGCGCACTTGATCATGCGTGTTTGAGTTAATGAGTGCACAGTCTTCTCTAGGTTGCCACTTCTGGAACAAACACATTATATAGACATCCATCCTGTCTATTACTTTTTTATCCACATATGCAACAATTCTCAACGCACTCTTATAATCATTGTTGTAACACTTCTTCATCTTTAACATGAAATATACCATCCTCTTCACGATTTTCTTCAGTATGGCTATTGCCGGACCAACTGTCTTAACAGCAGATGAAGTATTTGGACTGGAGAAGCGAGAGTGTGGTGTGAACCTTCGTTACACCAATGCTCAAGCCTGTCAAAACTCTGGCTGTAAAGTTTGTGTAAGTGCATGACCTTCCCAGCAACTTCACAGCTAGGGCTAGTTGTTTGGTTTAATTTGTATATGCTAATGTAGAGGATTTGGTTCAGGTCAATGATGTTTCTGTTTGCAACGTAAGTGCACATTCTATCCAGCAGTGAAAAGGCTGCAGCTAGCTGCTTGATTCTAGTTACACGACTAATGTAGTGGATTTGGTTTAGGCTGTAAGTACATGACCCCTCTACCAGATCAACAGCTGTGGCTGGTTACTCGGTTCGAGTTGCATTACTGACATGGGGTGCCTAATGCAGTGTTAAATGGCCAACAGACGTCGGCTTTCACAGTGTGCCACTTGGTTCTCGTTGCGTGGAATTCTGACATCTTGAGAGTTCCAGCTCTGCCAAATTTGTTAGATGTTAAATGCATAACTGGGATATCGTTCGTCTTTCAGATCGCTGCTCAGGCCCGAGGGCTGCAAAGTAGAGTTCTAATAACAATGCATAAACTGCACCCCAACGCGTTATATTTAACTATCTGAAAAGGCACTAGGTAACCCCAACATCCTATTATACTAGCACTCTAAAGCTCACAACCTGCCATACTACCAGCTCCACTGCACCTATGCCACAGCAATCACAACAGGTACCGGTATTGTTGTTTTCGAAATGTTGCACCCACCACGTGATGAAGGGGAGTTCCTGCGCACAGACGTTTTACCGTAATTAGTTAGCACATGCGCGCCATCACCAGATGCGCCAAATCACCTCAACAGAGGCTTATAAAAACGAAGCTGTAGAGCCACACATAAAAGCTCTTGTTAGATAGAGCGAGCTGGAGCAAGGTCGGATCTGTACAGTTAAGCAGGGACCTACCGTGTCCGTGCACTCAATGCGCGGATTCAGACAATGCGCCGAACCACCAAAACACCCCATCCATCCCAACTCTACAACAACGCAACGCCAAGGGATTAGAAGAAGCCCTTGCAGATTGTGATACTTTTAAAGATAAAGATGAAATCCCATGGTCTAAAATAGTAGCAAAGCATGGTGTTGTGCGCTCAACGTTAACGCGCACGTGGAGGGGCGAGACGCAACCGCGAGAGGCAGAAAATACTGCACGCCAGAAGCTCACCCCACAACAGGAAGAGGAGCTTGTAACGTATATAGAGGAGCTTACTGCTCGTCATATACCTCCTACAAGAGAGATGATACGGAATTTCGCGTCAGCAGTCACCCAGGAGCCAGTGAGCGAGAGCTGGGTTACCCGCTTCATCAACAAGCACTCTATCCATCTCATCTCTTAATATTCAACTGGGATGGACACTAATCGCCACAATGCTAATTCATACACTAAGTATGAGTTATACTTTAACCTACTGCAGCAAAAGATTACTAAATATAAGATTAAGAGCTGCCACACATACAATATAGACAAGAAGGGATTTATAATTAGAGTAACCACCAGGACTAAGCATGTGTTTAGCTGGCGGATGTGGGAGAAGGGAGAGGTCAAGGCATCACTCTAAGATGGCAATTGTGCGTGGATTACGTTGTTAGCTTGTGTGTGTGGTGATAGATTAGCACTACCTCTAGGTATCCTATACGAGTCTGCTAACAGCACTATCCAATCAAGCTGGGTTGAAGAGATAGAGTTAGGGGTACACTCTGCATTTGTTTCTTTAACACCTACAGGCTGGACTAACAATAATACAGGCCTTGCCTGGCTTGAACAGGTGTTTAATCGCTTCACCAAGGCCAAAGCCTAGAGGAGTTGGAGACTCTTAATACTAGATGGCCATGGGTCACACGTAACGATGGATTTTATCAACTACTGCGATCAGAACAAGACACTCCTGGCTATCTTACCTCCTCATTCAACCCACACGCTGCAGCCGCTTGATGTGGTGATGTTCAAGCCTCTATCAACAGCGTACTCAAAGGAGCTTACAAGACACCTTCACAATGGCCAAGGGCTATCAGTTATTAAGAAGAGTGACTTCTTCCACCTGTTCTGGAAGGCCTGGGTTAGTACGTTTACTCAGGAGTTAATACTCAGGTCCTTTGAGGTAACAGGTATAGCGCCTCTTCAACCTACGGCATTCCACTGCCTTTGAACACACAAAAGGGATTCACCCTAATGTATCTACACTGCTTAGTCTCCCCAACTGGCGGGGGAGCTGTAGCTTAAAACGGTAGCAATACCCGCGCAGGCAAGAAATGCTTTCTAAGGTAGTGTGTTAGCACTGTAATCCCATAGCTCAGCACTTTGTATATGCCCTTCGGGAGGCGAGATAGTGGACTTAATCCCTATTATCTAGACGTAAAATGAATACCAACCAACCAGCCAGCCTCTTCAACCTAACGTTATCCTCCAACGCTTTGCAAACGATACCCCTGAGGCCTCTGATAGCAACAGCAGCTCTTCTTCAGTCTACTCTGGCGAGGATTGGCTTAAAATCGAGACTCTGCTGCGCAGTGTTGTGAAGGAAGAGGGCAGTAAGGAGAGTAAAAAGCTCCGCCAATCACTCCACCACATCTCAGTTCAAAACCAGCTACTCCACCATGAGATAGATGGGCTCAAATAGGTTCTTAAGACTTAGAAGAAGCACAAGAAGAAGAGCAAGGCTCTTGACCTACAGCATGATTAAGAGTATCACAGTGGCGCTATATTCTGGTCTCCTCGCAAAGTAGAGGAAGCTCGCTCACGTGAGCAAGAAAGACAGGAGCAGGAGAAGGCAGAAGAGCTTAAAAAAGCAGAGATGGCTGAATTAAGTCACGCTAATAAGCTATATCAAGAGAAGATTGCAGAGGAGAAGCGTGAGCAGCGAGCAAGGGAGAAGGCAATGAGAGACCAGGCCAAGGCTGAGGAGCGAGCAGCCATCGATGCGCGCAAGGCTGAAAGAGCACGTAAGAAGCAAGAGAACAGCGCTGCAAAAGCTCTCAAATTATCCCAAAAAGGCAGTAAGCCAGCCTCAAAAGCTTCTACAGTTAAACAGAAGCCTGCGCGCCAAGGTGTGGGTGCCCGTAGTCACCCAAAGCCTGCAACGCCTCCTCCTGCGCGCTTAACTGTTACTACACGCAGCGGCCGCACCGCCACAAAATACCATTAAATTTGTATGAGTAGCTTTTTCGCACAGGTCTATAGATCAATACTCTACAAAATCTCACGATATTATCTATTATTGGTGGCTCTACAGCCTCATTTTTGCAGGTGCCTGTTTTGGTGGTTCGGCGCATTGTCTGAATCCGCGCATTGAGTGCACGGACACGGTATCAGGCGGTGCGACCAATTAGAAGTTGCCCAGTAAGTTAAGCAAGACCTGGCAACTCCTAATTGGCCGAGAGGCCTTAGAGCCCGCACCAACCTAAGCTGCGTTGCTGTCATCCTGTAGCAGAACCACGCAGACACAACACAATTATTATAAAGTTACATTATTATCTAACGTAATCGGCCATTGAGTCGGCCAGGCAATTGAGCCGGCCACCTTATGCAGCCACCCACCTTGACACGCAGATAACTCAACACCACAACGTCGTGCTGTGGCTCACAGTACGTCAAATTAATCCACTCTGTCTACAGTATCTTGCTTACATGTGCGCTTATTGTGCC